ATTACCATTGTGCCATTAAGGCAGTGTTCAGTTCTTTGTTTCCCTTTGATCTTCCCATTACCATTGTGTGATGTTTTATAAGCTTCGTGGAATGGCAATAGCGCCCTCTATGGTTGGTGAGCATTTTATAGCAGAGCCTCTGATGCAGCAAACACAATTCCTACTGCAAGGATTGCTAGGAAAAACAAATCAATGTCATCAAGTTTTGTCAATTTTATTGCAGTGTTAATCCTGAAGTTGCCAGGTTATTTTATACCATCTCACAGCCGAGATCTTAAGTTGGCCGTCCCAAGCACAATTTTATTCAACACTCGGTGTGCATGTAAAACGCTCATTATCAATACAGATGTGGAGTTTCAAGTCAATCTGACATACAACTTATAGTTGACATGATCATTGGAAGTTGAAGGTTATAAGCGTACCAGCCACCATGTGCACTCAGCACAGCAGTTGAAAGTGCAGGTAGATTTTGCCCCGGTTGACCTGTTTCGGGAAAGTGGGTGCTGCATGAGAACAGTATGTGTGATTTTCACGGAACTGCTTTCAAAGTGACTGTATGAAACTAAAAGTTTGGCTTGTAAAAAAATGGAAAAGTATGGCTGATCTCTTTCATGTGGCCAAGTAGTTAGGGTCTATGGTTTCCAATCATACGGTTGGAGGTTCAAATCCAGCTCAGGCTGCTGGCAGTATACGTTGTGGCCCTTGGCAAGCCACTTCACACCTGTTTGCCTCTCTCCACCAAGGGGTATAAATGGGCACCATCACTAGCTGGGGAAGCAACCTGGCATCCCATCCAGGGAAGGGGGAAAGAAATATTCTCAGTCGTTTTATGCCAAAGAAACTGCAATGTGTGGTGGAACGGTCTCATATATCCGGTGTGCTCGGATATCCGGAAGAACGTTCCGGATAAATGAGCACGTGCTCATCCGCCGTGCTGATTTTTCCAGTTTCATACATACAGTGTTGAGGGCTGTGAGGCAACTCGCACTCCTGCTCTGATTTTCCATTACATTTTTCTGTGGTTCCTGAAGTCAGTGTCATTCCATTTTGGTACTATTCATTGGTCATACTCCATGGGTGCTCCTGGACAAGTTCCACTTGTTTTCACCTCATATTCGGAGGACATTTCTGCGAATAAATATCACCCAACTTGTGCATATAGATTGCCATATTGTTTCACATATGGACATGCATGGACTCAGTCAATCAACCATGACTGTCTATCCTTCCTGAACAATGAACTATGCATGGGGCTTGCTAAGCTGCTTCTGTGGGCACCGTTGACAGCGTGGCTGTGTTCTGTCCTATTTCATGCAACCTGCCGCCTGTGGACTGTCTTATTGGTCAACTTGGAGTCATCTCAACTTCTCACCGCTACGTGAAATACATGTACATTGGCAGGCCGCAGCAGTATTACAGTAACACATGCGCTACATTTTAAGTTTCAGTCCTAGTTTGTGGAGATGTTCCTGCAAACCCTCGGCCCACCCATAACTCATGACGATCAACGGAACGTCAATGGCTAAGAGATAAGACAACAATCAGCAGATCAGCGACTGGTTGTTCCTGAAGTGATAAAATCTGCTAAGGCTGCATATATCAGCAAGCAAATTGCTGACTGCAGTGGTCACGGACAGTTTCACTGGATCATGGATCAAACTCTTCATCTCTCTAGCAACCCCGAAATTTCCCAGTCTCATGGACACCCGGCAGCTTGCAGAAAGGTTCAGCAATATCTGTGTTTCCAAGATTTGCTTAATTCATGACAAACTGGAGTCATCTCGTCCCCTGCAGGCTCAGCACAAAGGTCCCGTCTCTGTGCAGTGCAGCACGAATTATGGATATGTTTGAGCCAGTTAATGAGGAGGAGCTGGCACACATCATTTCT